GCATTCCACCTCCCTGGGTGGATACGAGTTTTATTTTTCTTTCTCCCCGGAGCATCATGTTACCATTAGAACCCCTCTAACCAATACATGATTTTATCCCCATAGTAAGATGTCCTCGCTATATGGTTTCACTCGTAAAAGGTTGAGATTAGATGCTTCCAAGTTTCTGCACATACCATAGGCATACTGACTGAGAAGACAAGTTGTCGTATCTTTAGTTACCTTTGTGATTCATTTGTCTGATAATTGATGTCGTCATAATGGTTAACGATGTCAGCATTGTTAGTAGTAATCTTCGTGTCTCTTAGCATATAACCTCATGAAATACTCTGCTCATCACCTTAATTGATTCCTAAGTAATTGCAGCCCAATCTTGAACTCCGTTGTTCCTTATTGAATTAAATCTATTAGGTATTGAAGGTCTAAACATGTCAAATGGGAAGCATCACAGCATGGTCACATATATTCGATAGGAAAATTTATGGTCAAATTATGATAGCACATCTTAGAGTAATCGTTGAAGGTCATCAAAGGTTTAGTGTGGGTGTTCGTGTAGAGAATTAGAATTTAGGAGGGCGAACAGGTTATTCTCAATATTTTCCCCTGAAGAGGTTATGTGAATTGATAATGAAGGGTACATAAGTGCATTTCACATTAGGCCGCACTAGGAGTATGATGTTTCCCCATAGTTGTCCCCATGTATTTTGTGTTTTCATACGTCTATGTCTAAGAAGGTAGTTGGAGATCCTTTGTGCATCATCCCGGTGGAAATTATTGAAGGTAAAGTTAATGGATAGTTAGTTTATGCGCGATATCTAGCTGTCATCCTTGTTAGATAAGTTTGGGGGTTGGGATTGTTTCCGTGAATGTGTTATGGCAAAGCCTGTAAGTCGAGGAGGCCACCTAGAAGGCCGAAAGTGTTGTGGAAAGAAAATATTTTCTCTTTGTTGTATAACAATTAGTTTTGATTTGAAAGGTACCTTATAGGTGTTATGATTTAAAATGTGCGGTCCATGTTCAGGTATCATTATGATAATGTAGTGCTTGTAATGCTGAGATTAGTGTTATGAATATATACATTGTGGTGCTTTGTCGAGTTGTGGATGAGTTGTGAGGATGGTTTTGGTGGTTCTCTGGCAGGTGGATAAGCCTAGTTACAAAGGAGATGCTGCCGAAATTTCTGAAAAATTTGGGAGTTAGTCAAAATTTAGGGACTTGAGGTAGGTTAGAAAAGAGATATGTTATGTTAAGGTGTTTGGGGTGGACTTTACCTCTCATTCGAGGATGAATGATCCTAAGCGGGGGAGAATGTAAGGCCCCGGAAAATTTTGCTAAGTAATTTAGGATTACGGGGTGCCAGGTAGGCTAATTATAATATTTTATGTGCTATAATATGATGTAAATGAATTGGATATAGTAAATAAGTGTATAAGTCTTATAATAAGTAATGTGGGGTCTAAGGAGAGGCCTAAGTCTAAGTCAAATTGGAAAATTTCATAATAGGCTAAAATTCCAAATGAGTTCGCACAAGTCCACACTTTGAACGAGCATATCTAAATATATATAAGGTTTTATGTGACTAACAACCTATCAAATGAAAGGTCTTCGAGTCGAGTTCTAACGCTTCAAACCGTTCATCATTTGGACATTCCTACACAAAGTTATGATCAAATTACTAAAGGCTGGATTTGCGACCAATTTTGCGACCACAAAACGACTATGCGGACCGCATATGCGTCGCATGATGAAGCAAAGTCGGGCAAAACATTATGGTGTCGCATGTTGATTATGCTGTAGTATAATCGATAATGGTGTCGATTATGCTATCGCATAATGATTATGCTTCAAGAATGCTGCCCACATTTCAATTATGCTATAGCATAATTGCACCACATAATTGACTTCGGGGGTCATTTTTGGAAATTTTCATATACGAATCCACTTTGATAAATAAGCTTTGGGGCTTCATTTGGGACTATTTTACACTAAATCTAGAGAGAGGTGAGAGCATTTTAGAGATAGAAAGAGGGAACCTAGCCTCCTAATCATCAATCTTGCTCAAACCCTCAAGAATCAAGCATGCTAATCTCTAGCTCACTATCTTCCGGGTAAGTCCTACTTCTAATATTTCATATATGAGATTATGAGTTCAAAAATATATTGTGGGGTTAGAAATAGGCCATGCATGTGACACTAAGCTGTAGTTTGTGGGATTAATGAACTATTTTGGGTAGTTCTTGATGAAATTGGATGAGGGAAGAAGGAATTTCCATTGTAGAACCTTGTAGTCTATTTCACATGATTAGGTGTTTGATGAAATTCCTAAGAGAGTTACACCATGGGAAATCTTTCTAAATTATTAATTAATTTTCGCTTTCTCCTTATAGATTATTACTGCTGGAGATGTTGGTGCATTATAGTAACTTAGAAAAAGCTCAACCAGGTATGTTGGCTAAACTTTATCTGTCCAAATGGAATTCCGTAATGTTTTCTGTAAGTTTAAGTACAATCGGCTCAAAATTTCTAATTCCCACCCTCCGGGTCATCCCGGATGAACTCGTAAAGCTTGAATATTCCGAAGAGCCTTATATCAAAAAATAGACGTTTAATGTATGGATTCCTTATTAAAATGGTATGACTCTGAGTCGTAATTTAAATGAAGACTAGCATACCCATTTGGGCGAGGAAAACTCGATGAATTTATTACTCCTAGATGCCCATATGTGTACTAAATGCCTTGATTGAGTTTGTTTAGCCGATTATAGACTATAAAGATACTTGGAAATGAATTGAAAGAACTAGGGGATATATATATATATATATATATATATATATATATATATATATATATATATATATATATATGTTATGATCCTACATGCTCCTTCTATTATGTGTGAAATTCATTACGCGTTGATTCCCATCAATATGGAAGATGATGTTATTGGACGAATAAAAAGGGGAAAAGACTCCAAATGTAACATGAGCCCAAATGCCAAGAATTATGAAATAAATGATGGAAATGAAGTGTGAACTGAGGAATTAACTGAATTGGTTATGTTTGTGTTTATAGTTTCAATTGCTAATGAACTTGAGATATATGATTTCTGAAATACGTTATACGTTGGTAATTGGTGATGATCCTTGAAATTAAAAGAAGTGAAAGTATGGAATGTGAAACACGGCCACCGTGCCATGAATAGAGAAACTTGTGAAAGGCCCAAAGAGCCAAGGAAATATTGCTATTGTGAGAGGTTGAAAATGTTAATAAAGATTTGTACAACGTGAAAGATTCTGAGATGATTGCATTCCTATATGTGTATATGTGTTACCTTTGTGTGCAAATCCATATAATAGAAATACATATACAATAATATTTTTGCGAGATCGATAGTCACCGAGGAAGGGTAGGTTGAAATAACCTAACCCCGAAACTACACGTGCCGGTGTAGGGTGCATTGTGGAATATTCGGATGAGATTGTTGGTAAATATGGATACGTCGAACCACACAGCACTGTGGCAAGATGGCTTAGCCGATCGGGCCGAGATCGGACGTCACGCCGTACACATGGTGGCAATTCGTGTTGGAAATTATGATACAAAATGTGATTGTGGTTACACCTTCAAATAAAGTGGCTTAGCCGATCGGGCCGAGATCGGACTCCGTACCAAGAGTACAGTGGCATTGTGAACAGTGATATCGTGACTTGTAGTATTATCGGTACTAAAGATCTCCCCAAACTAAAATATGCAATACTTTCGCTAATTCGAAAGGAGTTAATTAATATCTTTCAATTGCACATTTGGATATAATTGATTGAAATTTGCCGTTTCTGTGCCTTTCCTTTCCTTGTATAGTTATTCTATCTTGAAAGACGATTTTTAGCTTTACATACTAGTACTATTCGACGGTACTAACGTCCCTTTTGCCGAGGATGCTGCATCTTTAATAGATGCAGATGTTTTCACAGTAGGTGGCAGCGATCAGAGATAGCGGTATGTTCCTCCCAGCTAACTTGGTGATTCCCACTTCATTTCGGGGTCCTGTGTCATTTGTTTATTGTGTATTATTCATTTGAGGTATAGCCAGAGCCTTGTTACCGGCATTTCCATATTACTCTTCAGTTGTATTTAGAGGATCCATAGATAGGTTGCGGGTGGTGTCGGGTATTGGAATTAAACTAGAATTATTGTTATTTAGCAAATATGTTTTTCATCATATCTACAAAGATCGTAATATTCTGGATATTATGGTTCAAACTGCTAATGAAAACAAAAATGGAAGTTAATGAAATATTTATACAGTATGGTTGATAGAATTTATCTCCTATCTATTCATAAATTGGTTTGGGTAGAATGAAACCTAACAGGCTTGCTCAGTCGGGTTTACTCGGTTGAGCACCGGTCGCGCTCCTTGGTTTTGGGGCGTGACATTACTCATGAATCAATTTGGACTAAAAAAATTGCCCAACTTTAAATAGGCTGAAATGAGTTGGGTCAAGATGGACTGAGTTCAACGAACGAACGGGTCAATGATCAGGCCCAATTTTGGATAGGTTGGACTGATCAAATGGGCTTGAGCTCAAATTGTCATCCCTAAGTATCATCAACATGTAGTGTGCTATAGATACACTACTTTACTTTATCATGTTACTAATTTACTTTCTATGCATTTTAATAGTTATTTTTTGTGCGATCTGATGGCATAAAGATACTAATAAGTTTACACTATGGTAATATTAGTACTATATACATTTTCTACAGAAATGAATTATATATTAGTAACCTAAAATATTAGATAGGTAATCTGCTATAATAGGTGGAACACAAAAACATCATGTCATATAAGAAAATAATTATATATAAATATCTACAAAAAATATTAGTAACGTGGAAAAATAAAGTAATCTATCTACTATATATATAACAGGTTAAATACACTGATAGCATAAAAAAATTTGAGTGGTCTACTGTATAGAAGTTAATTTCGTTGTCAAACCTGTTGGCTAATGGCAACAATGTCAAGGTTAGGACCAGGCATGAAAGCAGTGACAAAAACAGCAACACAAATCTTCTGAGGGAACATTTCCATCGCAAGCGATATGTTGATGCCACCCATACTATGACCTACTAAGACAACTCTTTCTTCTTGTGGCAAATTAGCCAAGAATTCTATCAAGGGTTCGTTGTATTCAGCCATGGAATTGAGCTCTTCAGTACGTTTTGGATGAATTCCAGAAGCAGCCATGTCAAGAACACTAACTTTGTGACCTTCAGCTCTAAGAATTGTCACCACTTTATACCAACACCATGCACCGTGACAAGCTCCATGAACTAGCACAAAGTGATGATTCTTGCCCTTTTCCATTTTTTCAGGTGACACTCCCCAATTATTGCGAGATATTTATAGTGAAAGTAGAGGGTCAAAATGATCAGTTAGCCATAAATTCTGAAAATTTAAATTCTTGAATAATTGCACTTCTGATCCCTCAATTATTGTAAAAATTTAATTATGATCTTTGTGATGTTTCGTTAAGCATATTTAACCTTGAATTGACAAAATAAAAAGATAGCGTGTGTTTTGTCACTTACATAGGAAATATGCAAGGCATTTTTTTTAGAACTATGTTATCCTTAATTATAGAATTACACAATTCAAAATAAGAAATGGGAAATTAAATGATTTAATAGTTGATAGTTCGTTAAATTTGTAAAAATTCACAAGAGGATCTAAAGTGCACATTTTATCAATTGATGGTTAGATGCACTTAATCAGATATTGTGAGGACGAAGTTGAAATTTATCAATATTTCAGGGGCTAAAAATACATATCCCCTCTTGACAATCACGTCAATGAAAACATGCCTAAATGGATGACAGGATAGGAAATGAAAAGAGGAGAAGAACCTGGCGAGGTGTACAAAGTACAAAAATTACTATCTACATGAAAATCTATGCATTTTGTCTCTAAACACAAAGTAGGCGTTTGGACATGAATTCTAAATTTTTTTTTTTAAATTTGAAATTTCACTAAAATTTGAATTAACAATGAAGTTGTGTTTGGTTATAATTTTTGCAATATATTTGGATATCTTTTTTCAAAACCATGAAATATGATTTATAACCTACAACTTGTAAAAAGTATCAAAACCACCCCAATTTGATTATCCTACTTGAAATAAACAACCCCTTGCCGGATTAGCATGGCAAAGGAAGCCGCACACTTTGGTGAGAAGAAGACATGTGCGTTTTGTGTTTATGTGGATAGTTGTAGGTTAATAACTAACGGGGTCATTTTATAAATTTAAAAAAAATAGGATAAATTTGTAAAACCAATAACTAGCAAATTCCTATTTTCAATTGAAAAACTAGTTCTCACCAGTTTTCAAATTTAAAAATGCATTTTCAAATGAAATTAGAAAAATTGGTAAGAGTTTTGATTACAAAACATTATTTCCATAAAAAATTTTGAAAAAAAGGAAAAATTTTGTATACCCAAACGGGCTCTAAAAGACATGTTGCTTTTTGCCGGTCGTGCACCTCGACTATTGTCAACACCATTGCCTTCCAAAGTTTGCACTTTGACATAATCGACAACTTCATGGTACTCTATTTTTTTTTTTTTTTTTTTTTTTTTTTTTTTTTTTGATTAAAGTCATATTCTATTAATCAAATCATCTGTACAATCCCAAGTGGTTGCTGACAAACCAACTATCCTAAATGCAATATCAGTCCTATACATTTGAATCAAGCCTGTACAAGTGCAGTATATCTCTAGGATCTAACTCAATAAACTAGTTACAGAAGTTTTCACTACAATTTTCAGATAAGTGGATTAAGGAAATCGATCCAGGCTGCGCAGAGTAGACTTCCATATAGGGTAGCTTCTGCCTCAAGTGTGCACGTGCAAAGCAATTTCTCTGCAGATCTTGTTAGCCTCGAAGATGCTCTGTTGGAATCTGAGCAGGTTCCTTTCTCTCCATATGATGTACACTAGCATCGCAAAGACATAACTAGCCGTGGAGCCTCTGCTTGTACTTTTTCTAGCCATGCGGCATGCCCAGTTAATCTCATCTTTCCGGTCAGCTACTCCCTCCGTCTCAAATTGAATGAGGTAGTTTGACTCGGCATGGAGTTTAAGGAAAAAAAGAAAGACTTTTGAAATTTGTGGTCTTAAAAGCTTAAGGGGTAAAGCTTTGTGGGGCCATAACTTTTGTGTGATTATAAAAGCTTCTCATTAAGGGTAGAATGGGTAAAATGAGGAGTTTAAAGTTGAATTATTTCCAAATTTAGAAATGTGTCATTTATTTTGGAACGGACAAAAAGAAAAATACCTCATTTAATATGAAACGGAGGGAGTATATAACTTCTCATTCCTAGCCATGCCCAGTTAATGCTTTTCTTGAGATTGCAGAGACACCAGTCCATAGGAAGGAACGACACACAGCTTCAATCATTTTCATGATCTTTTTAGGCAAGAGCAAGATTAGTGCCCAGTAGGTCTGCATTCCAAATAGGACTGACTTGATCAACTGTAGTCTGCCTGAGTAAGAGAGCAGTTTTGTAGACCAACAATTTATTCTTGCTATGATCTTTTCTGTAAGTGGTGCATATTGATGAACAGTAAGCTTTTTGGAGGACATGGGCACATCAATCTGAATGGGAGAGTAACCTCTTCAAACCCCAGCAGCTGAAGAATAGTTTTTCGCTTATCTACAGTCACACTAGCCATGTAGATAGAACTTTTATTAGTATTTGCCTGTGTTGCACCCTATTTTGCACTAGTCAGAACAAGATTCAGCTTGTGGTTTCTCCATTGTTGATGAAAGAGAGTCGTCACCTAATATTTAAAGGTATACTAAGGTACCTACTTAATTACTAAAGTCATATTCCTTATTGGTTTGCTAGCCAATGAGATTTTGGGTAAGGTTTCTTGTTTCTAAGGAGGAGGTGTTAGAAACCCCTTCAAATCTACCTGAGGTAGCTCCATAAGACTTAGACTAGGTTGAGGATTAATTGCTTGTATTATGCTTAACTAGTATTAGAGAGGCGGCATGCTACGTATCTATTTTAAAGACTTAATACTTGAAAAGAGGATGTGTGGTTTTTAAAGGACATAGGTTTAGAAAAGCTTTGAAGATAATGTCGTATATACATATGATTGAAAGAGTTTAGGGTATTGCACATAATGTTTGTGTTTATAAAACATATGAGATGGAGTTGAATTGTAAATACTTTAAATGATTATGCCTATTTGTGTAACTATAGTGAAGTGAAAATGCTTTAAAGGAAATAGGTTTAAGATATACCTTGATTCTCAAATCCCATCATTTTTTTGAATAAATCGTTGGAAAACTCCTTTTAACTGGACGAAGATATTTGTTTAATTTTGTAGAAAAGTGCAGTTTAGAATGCCAATTTTATATTCCACTTCCAGTTTTTGAAAAGAGAGGATTATCACCTTTTCCTAAAGTTGTTTTGTTCCCAAAAGACTTCATAAAATCATTATTAGAGACTATCATGAACAATGTGCAATTAACGAATTAAAACTATCTATTACTAAGTCTAATACTTTGTTTAATCCTATGTCTTTTAGGGCTTGCCTAGATTGTCTATATGATCCATAGAGGTAAAATAAAGCATTCGATCTAATATGATAATTGTTTTGTACATGTGAGAAATAAAGATAGCAAAATGCAGTGAAGAAGTAAAGCAGCGAAAGGAGAGGATGGTCTTTAGTTTTTGGCCTAAAAGAGGCAGGCCCAGCAGATACCAGAAATGGACAGCACCCGACTTCAGACTTCCCAAATGTGCAGGGGTAGGACTTGGACCTGAGTTCTTTGGGAACTCAGCAGGCCCGATTATAATACATGTTCAAAAAGAAAAAAGGTCATTAGATATGCTACTATATACATATAATTAGACATGAAATGAACTATTAAGGGTCTAAACAGATGGTAACAATCAATGTTAATTTAAACTATGAGAATTACAATAATGTGGAGTTCACATATGGTAAAGTGATTTACATTGAAACCCTTTGTTGTCATTAAATATAAACCTAAAGGGAGTAATATAGATCAATAAATTAGAGGCTAAGGGTAGAGCTTCGTTCATGGACAAAACTCTCTTTGGCCCCCTGACACTTCAAAGTTCCCAAGGGTTTTAAGGCCCAGGACAGTTGTAACGACCCGGCCGGTCGTTTTGATAGCTATAGCCCTGATCCCCTATTAACTGCTTTTCCCATATCTATTTCTGCTAATGTGACTTGCCGGGAGGTTTCATTTTGGTTTTTGGAGTGTTTTGGGACACTTAGTCCCTAAATGAAGGTTTAAGTCTTAGGATTTGGACCATAGTCGGAACTGTATGAATACGACTCCAGAATGGAGTTTTGTCAATTCGGTTAGCCCCGTTGGGTGACTTTGGGCTTAAGGGTGTATCCGGATTTTGTTTTGGAGGTCCGTATCTCATTTAGGCTTGAAATGGCGAAAGTCGATTTTTTTTAGAGTTTTGGACCGTTAGTGGAATTTTTGATACCAGGGTCCAAATCCGATTCCGGAAGTTGGAGTAGGTCCGTAATGTTGATTAAGACCTGTGTGCAAAATTTGAGATCATTCGGACGTGGTTTGATAGGTTTTGATATCGGTTGTGGAAATTTAATGTTTCAAGTTCATTAAGTGTGGATTGGAGGGTGATTTGTGTTTTTAGTGTTGTTTGATATTATTTGACGACTCGACTAAGTTCGTATGATGTTTTAGGATTTGTTGGTATGTTTGGTTGAGGTCCCGGGGGCCTCGGGTGTGTTTCAGATGCTCAAGGGGTTGAAATTCGGACATGCAATTGTTGAGAATTTCTGGTGCTGGTATAATCGCACCTGCGGAGTGGACACCGCAGGTGCCAACCCATAGAAGCGGGATTTGTATTGCAGAAGCGACTTGAGGTGAGTGGACAGAGTCCGCAAGTGCGAAGATATTCCCGCACATGCGATGGTCGCAGAAGCGGAGAGTAGGGGCGTAGGTGCGATGTAATTTCCGCACCTGCGACATGCGCAGATGTGGTCAATGGTCGCAGAAGTGGAGGAAGCTGGAGTAATTGATTTCTGGAGGTGCGGATTTTTAGCCGCAAATGCGGTACCACAGAAGCGTGTAAATGACCGCAGGTGCGATTTAACTGCCAGAAAAAGGGAAAAAGTCGAGGGTTTGATTCATTTCTCTATTTTTGGACTTGGGAGCTCGGAAATTAGCTATTCTTTGAGGGATTTTCAGATTGAGCTTTGAGGTAGAAATTCCTTACTCGATTTTGGTTATATTTTATTAATCTAATGTTGTTTTCTTCATTTAATTAAGGAATTTGAATGAGAAAATTGGAAAAATGGGGGAAAATTTCCCCAAACGAATTTTTGAGTTTTGGGTGGTATTAAACATCGAATTTGGAT